TAATTCCTAAATAAAGGTTGTTTAGAATCTATTTAAAGCTCAACAAAAATATCACCAGTGGGCTACAAAGAGTCTATAAACAAAAGTTTGTGAATTAAGAGTCTAGAGCAGGGCTTTTCAACCAGTGGTACGGGTACCACCTGTGGTACATGGGCACCTGGCAGGTGGTACGTGACCATCCTAGAAAAGTGATAGCGGGGGAGGGGAATGGGCTGAACCGGTGGCAGCACCGCACAAGCCTGAGCGAGAGACGGCTGGAGCTGCAGGGCTGTCAGGGCTGAGCGGAAGCCCCAGGATCAGCGCCAGGCTCCAGCTGGACCTCGGCCCTGATCCTGGTGCTTCCGCTGAGCCCAGAAGAAGCGCCGATCAGCTGGAATGTTGCAGCCTCTCCAGGGTCTTGTGATTTACATTCAGATGCTTGGCAACTGATTCATATTTATGACGGTCACAGTGTCCCAGGGTCATGTGAAGGGACCAAAACCTGCTGCAACCACCCAGCAGATGGGGGGGGTGGAAATAAAGACCAAACACCACACCACACCACACCACCCCCACTGCCAATCCTCAACAGAAATGCTCACAACAATGGAAACCTCGGACAGGAGGAAGAGCGCGGCCGGGTGGGCAGGCAGGTGTCTTGCTCGGCTGTGCCTTGGGGGGCACTTTTTTCAGTGCCATTGTAACTTCGAACAGTCACTAAGCGAACTGTTGTAAGTCGAGGACTACCTGTACTTTATCACTTTTTTCTTTTTTTTTTTTTTTTTTTGGTCATCAAGTTTTTGACACCTTGCTAGGCGACTGGTGGTACTCGGATATTGCCATATCCTAAAAGTGGTACAATGGGTGAAAAGGTTGAAAAGCCCTGGTCTAGAGAACTGTTCCAGTTCCTCTAAAAACAGAAAGCTCATTGGATGAACTTCAGACAGTGACTTTTTTTAGCTTCATTTCCCAAGGGCTTTTGTTTTTCAGGAAAAATAAATTGCACATAATAATGGGTCTTCTTGGAGGAAAGGTGGAGAATTCAAGCACAAAATAAACCAGGAACATATTCATAAACAATACTGCACATATACAGCTCCTTTACATGTGTGTTGAGTAGATATAAGTGATAGGAAAAACACATAAACATGCACAGTTCAATTCACAATTACTTCAGAAAAGTATGGATTTCACTTGGAAATATTACTATTTAATCTACAATAAATATGCCTTAAGATTTTATTTAGATCTGTGGTATGCTTGCCACCAACATACCTGCTACATCATACAAGCAATGGCATCAAACAATATATGAGACAAAAAAATATCTATTATAATTTATTCCTAACTGATGGAAAATTATGATTTACTGAGCCAAATGGTAACCCTTGGAAGCATATAAATTATGAGTTGTCTTACTTGTGAGATTGGCAGCATATATATTTAATAAATAAAGATATAAAAGTACTTTAAAAAGATTCACCTTAGCATTTTTACTGATTCCATGCATATACCACCAGAATCAGACACCTTGGATATTGATGCAGCTGTTCATGATCTCAGGATATTTGTCTAAACACCCAGTTAGCTAAGATTTTTTTTAAAACTAGAAAGATTAGGGAGAAATCAATCCACAGTGTTTTATGACTAAGTGGTTCTTACCCCCTACAAAATAATGAAAACGATAAGGAATTCTGGATTTTGATCTTGATGGAAGAATGGGAAAGTAGAGAAGATACAATAGATATCCTATAGTAAATGTTTAGATCAGAGGTGTCAAACTCACCACATCACGTGATGTATTGCGACTTTTTTCCCATTGCTGGAGTTGGGGTGGGCGCGGTTTCGGCATGATGCATCCAGCCCGCGAGCCAGCAGTTTGATACCCCTGATTAAGATTATTATTACTACTTGAAGTGTTTTGTTTCTAAGACTCAATGCCTGTCTTTAAAGCAAACTGACTACTTTTCACCTCACTCCACACACGCCCTATAAACCACAGAAACCGAGTATGAATCAGCAGTATTGTTTTACTTTGTAGGTATGTAAAAATATTCTCTAATCATTTTTAGGAGCATGAAATTAACAGAAATGTTCATTTTTGAAGAGGGATGGCAATTACATTCAAGCAGACTTGTCACAATGCTATACCACAAAGACCCAATTCCAATCACAGTTGAGAAAAATCTACCTTTTCTTTCTTAATGGATCCTATCATTCTTCCACTGAGGAAACTAGACCAAAACAAACAGTAAATTAAAGTGCTTACCAAAATAATATTTTAAAAGGATCAGCCCGTAACAAATTTAGTGATCATAATTCAAATATATATATATAAGCCCTTTCTAGTTTTCAACTCAATTAACACCGTCAGGGACAGGTACACCAAAATACAAAGATAATATTCATGACATGTTCATGATTTATTCTGATTCTTTCATCAAATTGAAAATCTCAGCATAGAACTGTGTTGAGTACATATTTATCCTATAAAAAACCACTTTCTTTTTTCATATGGTGGGGATCCAAGCTAAATTCTTATGACAAATCTGAAACTACTAAATTATTCCAGACTAAATTCAACAAGAGGTTTCAGAGTGAGTGAGGATTTATCTATTCCCAGCAAAAGAAGAAATTACCGAAAATCTTAAAATACAATTGAGAAAACCAAATCTCTATGGAACCTAGTCAACAGATTTTTTTTAAAAAAAAAATCTATTAGAAAAATGTAGTAATTCCCAGATCCAGAAAATAGTAAAATTCCTCCTGAAGTTAGAAATAGCTAGGATTTTTAAAACGCATGGTTTCCAAATTAGCAACTGAACTATGACAGGGAGAAGCAGCCAAAGAAAATGACAGGGTTTCTTCCCACCGTTTGTGTTAGCTTCCAGTTGGATGCCACCGATGCTCCGGAGAAAACCAAAACAGGCTCAGACACAACACGATACAGAAATCCCATCGCTTCAGTGTGGTTTATCGAATCAACCCAGCCAACTAGATGTGCATTAGCATGCTAAACTGGATTCACAAAATACATTTGCCAACAGCCATGTTTTGGCTTATTATGCAGTATAAATACAAGCCAAGCCTCAGAATTGGAAACAAACACATGCATTGAGAGGGGCCTGACACTCTGATCTGGATTAAAAATTGGGGTGTTTCCCCCCCCTCCACAGAAAGATGGGCCAGCAGCAGAGAATGCCAAGTTGTCCAGCGGCCACTGTGAGCCTTTTAATACAAAGATATAAAAATGCAATGAATGAATGCATTACGTCGTTTTCCAAGTGGCTTCTCCTGGTTTTTTTTAGAAGTGATCCAGTGAAAGCAGAGGTGGTTTAATACAGAGGGGCTTCCTCGGGAAAGGGGAGGATTGGGAGGCCAAGGAGATTGGGATCCTTCCTCCCCCCACACCCCTATTTATCGTTCGCTCCAAATGGAGGTAATTAATAATACAAATAATCAAGGTTCCTTTGGGCCCCACCCGGGATCTGCCTTTCCTTCCTGTCCCTCGTTGATCAGATGGAGGAGGAAATCAGAGCACAGGAGAATAACAAGGAGGAAGAGGAGATGATGAAGATGAAGATAAGATGATAATGAAGATGAGGAAGATGATGAGGATGAAGAAGTTGATGGAGGTGATGATAAAGATGATAATGAGGAAGATAATGAAGAAGTAGACGAAGGATGATAATGAAGTTGATGGAGATGAAGATAAGGTGACGAAGATGATAATGAAGATGAAGACTAAAAGGAAGATGGAAATGAAGATAATGAAGATGAAGATTATGAAGAAATTGATGGAGATGAAGATAAGGTGACGAATGAAGATGGAGACTAACAAAGATGGAAATGAAGATAATGAAGATGAGGATGAAGATGATAATGAAGATGAAGACTATAATGAAGATGGAAATGAAGATAATGAAGATGAAGATTATGAAGAAATTGATGGAGATGAAGATAAGGTGACGAATGAAGATGGAGACTAACAAAGATGGAAATGAAGATAATGAAGATGAGGATGAAGATGATAATGAAGATGAAGACTATAATGAAGATGGAAATGAAGATAATGAAAATGATAAGATGAGGAAGATAAGAAGTTGATGGAGATGAAGATGACGAAGATGATAATGAAGACTATAAGATAGAAATGAAGATAATGAAGAAGATGAAGATGATAAGATGAGGAAGATAATGAAGAAGATGAAGATGATAAGATGAGGAAGATAATGAAGAAGATGAAGATGATAAGATGAGGAAGATAATGAAGAAGTTGATGGAGATGAAGGTAAGGTGACGAAGATGATAATGAAGATGAAGACTATGAAGATGGAAATGAAGATAATGAAGAAGATGAGGAAGATAATGAAGAAGGAGATGGAGATGGTAAGGTGACAAAGATAATGAAGATGGAGACTAACAAAGACGGAAATGAAGATGAGGAAGATGAAGATGATAATGAAGTTGATGGAGATGATGATAATGAAGATGAAGACTATAATGAAGATGGAAATGAAGATAATGAAGAAGATGAAGATAAGATGAGGAAGACAATGAAGTTGATGGAGATGAAGATGACAAAGATGATAATGAAGATGAAGACTATAAGGAAGATGGAAATGAAGATAATGAAGGAGATGAAGATGAAAAGATGAGGAAGATAATGAAGAAGTTGATGGGAGATGAAGTTGAAACTGAAGAAGTTGATGGAGAGGAAGATAAGATGACGAAGATGATAAAGAAGATGAAGACTATAACGAAGAAGCTAATAAGAGGAGGAAGATAAGGAAGAAGTTGACGGAAATACTGAAGACCAAAGAAAGATCGAAGTCTCCTGCTCCGGAGCTGGAGGGCAGCCAGAACCCAGGCGAGGCGGACCCCGGAGCAGCCCCCCACTCCCTCCCCACCCCCACCTCGCCCGCGCGGGGGCTCATGGGAGTTGTAGTCTCCGCGCTGAGGCGATCGGCGCGCCGCGGTTCCGAAAGGGCAGAACCAGGCCGGGCCGCCCCGCCACTCACCGCTTTGCTCGCCGAGGAAGACCAGCTTGAATTTCCGCAGCGGGTTGCCGAAGTCTCCGCCCGCCGACATGACGACGAGGAGGAGGAGGAGGAGGAGGAGGAGCGGGAGGAGAGAAGGAGCCGCCGGCGGGTCTCCCCGGCTGACTCTCGGGGGGAGGGAGACGAGGAGGACGGGCCGCGCCGCCGCCTCAGGCGTTCTCCTCAGGCGCCTGAGGAGAGTTAGGCCTTTCCCGCCAAGGAGCCGGCGTCGACGCGCGGAGCGAGGGAGCAGGCCGGCGGGCCGGGAGTCGGCGGCAGCTCCTCCGGCGGGGCTGAGGGAAGCGGCTCCGAGCACACCCTCGGCCACGACACCAGCTTCGCCCGCGCCGCTGAGGCAATGCCGGCTCCGCCCGCCGTCCGCCTCTCCTCAGAGCGGGCCCCGCCTCCCGCCCCGCCCGCGGCTCGCCGCCGCCCAATCAGGAAGGGGAATAAACAGCCTTGCCTCGCGCGGATTGGAGGGAGGAGGAAAGCGGGGGGGTAGGGCCGGCCTCCCGTCGCTCAGCCGCCGGCTCCAACCGCCGGGAGGAGCAGGAGGGTGACGCCAGCAGGAGAAGTGCGCAGGCGCGAAGCGGGAGGGAGGCCTTGGGAAAAGAGGGGGAGAGAGAGAGAGGGCGTGTTTTGCGAGGTGGTGACGTCGGCCTACCTGCGGCGTCACACGGACGGTAACCATTGGTCGAAATGCCCCCGGGAGGCGGGTTTTGTGGGAAATCGTTGCCCGTTCCCATGGTTACCCGCACCTCCTCTCCCTGCTTGGGTCTCAGGGACATCCTTCATGGGAAAGGCTTCTGCAACGTGGCGCCCGCGAGTATTATTGTTATTTCTTTACATTTGTATTCCGCCCGTCTCGCTATAGACTAGGGAGCATTACAGCTTCCATCATCCTCACCCTGACACGAAGGGAGTTGTAGGCCGAGAGTTCTGAACTGCACCTTGGCAGAAGAAAGTAGAAAAATTGGGATAATTTCATTTATATATAACATAACATAACATAACATTATAATATGATATGATATGATATATAATAATATATAATAATACTATAATATAATAACACTATACTATAATATACTATAATATAATATGCTATACTATAATACTAATATAATACTAATATATATAATATAGAATAATACTATACTATACTATACTATAATATATATAATATAATACTAATATAATATAATTAATATAAATATACAGTATTGCAGTTTGAAATCTGTGCAATACCTTGAATTGTTATATTATATATATTATATTATAGTATATTATAGTAATAATAATATTATTATTACTATAATATACTATACTATAATACTAATATAATATAATATAACATTAATATAATATACAGTATTGCAGTTTGAAATCTGTGCAATACCTTGAATTGTTGGGTGACTGTGATTTTCTGTTAAGATTTATTCTTTTCTCCTCTATGCTTGTGAGATTCTGTACCAACACATCAAACAACTGGAGAAATTGCCCCTGTGTGGTCTCCACTCCATCCCAATTTACTGCCTTCCTTGCCACAGTTGTTAAGGGAATTGCTGCAATTGTTAAGTTAGTCTCCCGATTCTTAAGCGAATCTGACTTCCCCTTTGATTTTGCTTGTCAGAAGTTTGCAAAAGGGGATCACGTGACACTGCGACCGTCATAAATATGAGTCAGTTGTGAAGTGTCTGGAGTTTGATCATGTGATGATGGGGAGGCTGCCGTGGTCGTAAGTGTGAAAAATGGTTGTAAGTTATGTGTTTGAGCGAACTTTCAGACCGCCACTAAATGAACTGTTGTAAGTCGAGGACTACCTGTACTATTTATTTATTTATTGGTTTGATTTGATTTGATTTGATTTGATGGCCGCCTATCTCGCTTCGAATATAAAGTCATCCTGGCTTTAGAAAATCTCTAGGCCAGGGGTAGGCAACCTTGGCTCTTTTGTGACTCGTGGACTTCAACTCCCAGAATTCCTGAGCCAGCATGGGGGAAACTTTGGCCCCTGCATGACTCGTGGACTTCAAGTCCCAGAATTCCTGAGCCAGCATGGGGAAAATTTTGGCCCCTTCATGACTCATGGACTTCAACTCCCAGAATTCCTGAGCCAGCATGGGGAAAACTTTGGCCCCTTCATGACTTGTGGACTTCAACTCCCAGAATTCCTAAGCCAGCATGGCTCAGCTTGGAAACCTCTCCCTTTCCCCTCAGCATGGCTGGCTCAGGAATTCTGTCTAGTCTAATGAAAAGAAGGACCAGATGTGACATGACAGCACTCTTCCAATATCTCAGGAGCTGCCCCAAAGAAGAGTTGGGGGTCCACCTCTTTTCCAAAGCACCTGAAGGCAGGACAAGAAGCAACAGATGGAAACTAATCAAGGAGTGAAGCAACCTAGAAATTTCCTGACAGCGAGAACAATTAATCGGTGGAACGACTGGCCTCCAAAAGTTGTGGGTGCTCCATCGCTGAAAGCTTTTAAAAAAGAGTCTGGTTTGAAATGGTTTGGGGCGTCCTGCTGGGAGAAGGGGGTTGGTCTAGAAGACCTCCAAGGTCCCTTCCAACTCTGTTGTTCTACGTTCTATGTTGGAGGTTAAGATGACCACTGAGCTGCTTCAAAATGGCTTCGCTTCGTCCAAGGAACAGGACCAAACTCAAATCTTCTTAAAAGGAAGGGAGAATAATCAGCAGGACAATTCATGTGTTTTTTAAACGAATGGCGGAGAGACATCGGTGTCTCTTTTCAACCAACGGGGAGAAAAACGGGGCTCGTGAATGCCGGCCTGGCGAGGAGAGTGACTTTGTGATTGTCTTTTCTTGCTGGGAGCCCCGGATAATTGATCAGGAAGCGAATGAGAGCTGCCCAACCTCACCTAGGCGCGCAAAACCCTCCAGGGCCCCCCCCCATATAATTCCCACGCCTTTAAATCAAGTTTGCTGCAAGGCAAAAACTCCCCGGTGGATTGAGCCCATTAGTAGACTTGTGGGTTGCTAAGCACCTGCCTCCGAGGATATCAAATCATAGTTACCTTGCAGCAACACATTATTACGTGATCTTTTTTTTCCTCCAAGCTCTGCTAAACGGATGGTGCAGTCTGTTCTATTCATAACCCAGCCATCTTCCTCCGTGTTCTGTGATTCATCCTAGATATTCAAGAGGGGGCAACGGCGGAGACCTGCAATCAAAGCTTACGGCACGCAGCATGACAGGTGGAGGCTCCAGAGATTTCAATCTAGTTCCACTTGATAAGATAAGATAAGATAAGATAAGATAAGATAAGATAAGATAAGATAAGATAAGATAAGATAAGATAAGATAAGATAAGATAGTCTCTATCTATGGAGCTTCTCCGTCCTCCAGATCCTGGTTGTCCCAAAGGTGCTTTTTCAGGAGGCAGCTGGACTTCCTTTGTTTTTCTTTGAAGATGTTTCGCTTCTCATCCAAGAAGCTTCTTCCGCTCTGACTGGATGGTGGGGAATGGAAGGATTTATACTCCTTGCAGAAAAACTGGTCATTTGCCTCCTTTTAGAGAGTCGTTGAGGCCACTTGGAGGTTTATCTGTGTCCTCAGGCTCACCTGAGTGGTGCAAATGGGTGTGGAGCCTTCTTGGAACTGCTGAAAGGATTGTGTTGCAGATTGGAGATAGATAGATCACTCATTTGCACCACTCAGATGACCCTGAGGACACAGATAAACCTCCAGGTGGCCTCAATGACCCTCTAAAAGAATGCAAATGACCAGTTTTTCTGCAAGGAGTATAAATCCTTCCATTCCCCACCATCCAGTCAGAGCTGAAGAAGCTTCTTGGATGAGAAGCGAAAAGTCTTCAAGGAAAAACCCAAAGGTGCTTTTTTCAGGAGGCAACTGGACTTCCCTGTTTTTCTTTGAAGACGTTTCGCTTCTCATCCCAGAAGCTTCTTCTGCTCTGACTGGATGGTGGGAAATGGAAGGATTTATGCTCCTTGCAGAAAAACTGGTCATTTGCATCCTTTTAGAGAGTCAGTGAGGCCACCTGAAGGTTTGTCTGTGTCCTCAGGTGACCCTGAGGACACACACAAACCTCCAGGTGGCCTCAACGACCCTCTAAAAAATGCAAACGACCAGCTGTCTGCAAGGAGTATAAATCCTTCCATTCCCCACCATCCAGGCAGAGCTGAAGAAGCTTCTGGGATGAGAAGCGAAACATCTTCAAAGAAAAACAAGGAAGTCCAGTTGCCTCCTGAAAAAAACACGTTTGGGACAACCAGGACCTGGAAGACTGAGAACCTCCATAGACACCCAAGAAGCTTCTTCTGCTCTGACTGGATGGTGGGGAATGGAAGGATTTATATTCCTTGCAGACATCTGCATTCTTTTAAAGGGTCGTTGAGGCCACCTGGAGGTTCGTCTGTGTCCTCAGGGTCACCTGAGTGGTGCAAATGGGTGTGGAGCCTTCTTGGAACTGCTGAAAAGACCGTGTTGTATAAACATAGATAAACCTCCAAGTGGCCTCAACGACGACTCTTAAAAGGATGCAAATGACCGGCTGTCTGCAAGGAGTATAAATCCTTCCATTCCCCGCCACTCAGTTGCCACAGTTGTTAAGTGAGTCACTGCAGTTGTGAAGTGAGTAACACTTAACATGGCCTCCCCATTGACTTTGCTTGTTAAAAAGTCTCAGAAGGAGATAGCATGACCCCAGGACGCTGCAACCATCATAAATATGAGTCAGTTGCCAAGCATCTGAATTTTGATCTTGTGACCAGGGGGACGCTGCAACGGTCATAAGTCACTATTCTCAGTGCCGTTGTGACTTTGAACAGTCACTAAACAAATGGTTGTTAAGTCGAGGAATATCTGTAACCACCTCCTGAATGAAACCAGTCCCATCCAGTCCCAAACCAGGTTTTAAGGCTTTTACCAAAGGCCAAAAGGATGGAGGCAGATCTCACCTGGGAAGGCTTTCATGTACTGGTTGACATTCATTCCCACATATAAGCCACCATTCCTGGATTTGCACAACACAGGTAGCCACATGCAAACAAACCCAAATGCAGGTGGTGCGTGTTTGTTTCCAAGCTGAGCCATGCTGGCTCAGGAATTCTGGGCATTGAAGTCCACGAGTCATAAAAGAGCCAAGGTTGCCTACCCCTGGCATAGGGGCTCCTGCTTGAGCAGGGGGTTGGGCTAGATGACCTACAAGAGCCCTCCCAACTCTGCTATTCTGTACAATTCTCTACCGCTTCCTCTTTTTCTCTCTGTGCTCCTTTCTTAGCCAATCAAAACAGCCACTGCGGAGAGGCCACTCCTGATTGGCTGCCGCGGAACAAACTCGCCGCGGAACTCGGAGTCCGCGGGAGAGGGAGGAAGGGGGACCGTTTTAGTGACGGACCTCGGAGCCGCGGGGGAACGCATTAGGGTGACCTCTTCGGATTCGTGATTTCAGCCCCCTCCCGTCGCCGTGGTTACCGCCTGGAGGGTCGGGGGCGTCGCTGGGGATCATGAGTGCGGCCTTGGGGAAAGTAGGTATCTTGGGGAGGGGGCGGCCCCGTCCCGAACCCCTATCCTCCTCTGCCTCGTCCTTGGAGGGGGTGGGATTCCAGCTCCCATCATGCCCAGCCGAGCCATCTGGGGGTCCTCAAGATGGGAGAGCATGAGTGGATGGAAAAGGGAGGGGGGAACCGAACGAGTGCTTGGGGAATTGGTGAATTACCTGTCTATGGGTAATTTGGTTTCTCCAAACTTTCTTATTTATTTTTTTCCCACAATAGGAATGTAAATATAACTATTAAATATATGTAAATATGTAAATATAACTTTATATTATTATTATTATTATTATTATTATTATTATTATTATTATTATTATTATTATTTTTCTCTGCTTTTGCACTTTCTACTTTATTTATTTGGGATTTAATACACTTCACTCGTTTTATTTCTTTGAGGTTTTATCCCGCCTTTCTTATTGTTTATAAACATGCCCCCCCAAGAATAGCTATTTTCTTCCTAAAAATGCTCCATTCCCCTGGTAGACAAGTTCCATTTGTTTATGCATTTCTAGGCCTTTTTTTTCCCTTTTAAAAATGTAAATCTAGTGTCAGGACACTAGAGAATTAATCCTTGACTTAGACCACAATTGAGCCCCAAAACAGTGATGTGGGCAACATGCAGCAAGTCCTCGAATTACGACCGCAGTTGAGCCCGATTGTTGCTAAGTGAAACAATTTTAAAGTGAGTTTTGCCCCATTTTGCGACCTTTTTGCCACGGGTCTTAAGTGAATCGCTGCAGTTAAGTTAGTAACACAGTTGTAAATGGAGGTAGTGACAGATTTTATCTTCCTGGGCTCCGAGATCACTGCAGATGGGGACTGCAGCCAAGAAATTAAAAGACGCTTGCTCCTGGGGAGGAATGCTATGGCAAATCTAGACAGCATACTAAAAAGCAGAGACATCACCCTGCCAACAAAAGTGCGTAGAGTCAAGGCCATGGTTTTCCCAGTTGCAATGTATGGCTGTGAAAGTCGGACCGTAAGAAAGGCTGAGCGCCAAAGAATGGAGGCCTTTGAACTATGGTGCTGGAGAAGACTTGCTGGAGAAGACTTCTGCGAGTCCCCTGGACTGCAAGGTGATCCAACCGGTCAGTCCTAGAGGAGATCAACCCTGACTGCTCCTTAGAAGGCCAGATCCTGAAGTGGAAACTCAAGTACTTTGGCGACCTAATGAGAAAGAAGGACTGACTGGAGAAGAGCCTCATGCTGGGAAAGATGGAGGGCAATAGAAGAAGGGGACGACAGAGAAGGAGGGGGCTGGATGGAGTCCCTGAAGCAGCAGGCGTGAGCTTAAATGGACTCCAGAAGATGGTAGAGGACAGGAAGGCCTGGAGGAACGTTGTCCATGGGGCCACGATGGGTCGGACACGACTTCGCAACTTACAACAACCGTCATACATTTTAGGTCAAGAGTGCAACATCAAGAATGAATTTAGGCTTCGTTGTTCCCTTAGATATTGTACTGTTGAAATAGTTGCCTGGAAATGAGAGAAACGAAGCAGAAAGAGAAATGTAGGACATCAGCTGGGTTACGGTTTCTTGCAAACCGTTTTGCGGGTTTATACAGTCAATTTTGGAAAGTCACTAACCTTGTACTTTGAAAAGGGCTTGATAACGTATTTCTTATTTCAATAATTGACAATTTTAACTTTCTTCTGCAGGTTTTGTCCCTGGGAAAGGAATCTGTTTTAAAGCAAGGATCTGCTTTTTTCAGGTAAGGTACCCAGTGCTCTGCACATTACAGATAATCCTTAACAACTGTTTGAAGTTACAGTCGCCTTGGAAGAAGTGACCTATGACTGTTCCTCACGCTTATGATCGTCTCAGCATCCCCATGATCACTTCATTAAGATTTGGGAGCTTAGTAATCAGCATCTATGATGGTTGCAATGTCTCAGAGTCATGTGATCACCATTTCCAATCTTCCCAGATAGCTTCTAACAAGGAAACTCAACGAGGGAACTGGATTTTGTTTAGCAAAGGCTGATCCACTTAGCATCTGCAGCAATTTGCTTAACAAGGGCAAAAGTCATAAAATTGGGCACAACTCAGTAGACAACTGCCTTGCTAAACAACAGAAATTCTGGCCCCAGTTAATTGACAACCATCTGTGTCTTGTTTTGTGTCCTGATGGAAGATATCGCTAAAAAGACAGGAAGAATTTTGACACTTAGCCTGATTGTAAACACTGTAAGAGGGAAACTGCGTAAAAAGATTAAAAAATTAACGCAGGATTGTTCTCTTTGGCTTTTATGACTTGCACTCTTCGTAGAGAATTTGCAAATTGCCAATTGGGATGGGAGCTTTGCATGCTAATTACATTTTAATTAGAGAAGCTCAAGGAGGCTGTGAAAGTTTTTGTCCTGTGGAAGTACTTCCCAAGTTTAATAAGGATTTTATCTCCCTGTTTGTTTCTTAGCCTTTCATTAAAATCATCCAGAAGGAATCCAATCTGTTCTGTAGGTAAGAAGATTTTGTGGGTTTTTTTAAACAATTTGTCATATCCTAGGAAAGAGAACCGTCTTTGGGGCTATGCTGTGATACGACGAATTTGCTACCCAGAGTGGTTTGTTACGAGATGGGCAGCAAATAAATTCAATAAATAAATGAGAGGATATTATATTCTCCCCTTTTTTTTTGGCAAAAACAGCTGGCCACAGAGTGGGCCTCTCCCCAGTCATTTTCCCACTGTAAAAATGTTTCAGACGGATCAGCCTTCCCGGGTCTGTTCCCTTTGACATGCTGGATGACAACCACTGTATTTCCCAGCTACACAGTAGTTCCAACATACATGGGAGATACTGTTACATACATATACACAATCAGAATAGAGCTGGAAGGGACCTTGGAGGTCTTCTAGTCCAACCCCCTGCTCAAGCGGTAGACCCTGTACCAGAGGTCACCAACCTTTCTTGGTTGGCAGACTGGAGGGAAAGGGGGAAGCATTTTATGCATGCGCACGCGCGCACGGGGTCACAAGCATGTGCGTGACGCAAACGGGGCGGGGTTAGCGCTTGCGTGAGACTCGCTAGCCCTGCCCCATTCTTGTGCACAGTGACCTGTTTCTGTACCCCGAGATGTGGTGTCGGCCCATTTTCGTGCGTGGCGGTGTCCCGTTTTCACGACCCATGTTGCAGCAGGGTCCCATTTTTGCGCCCTGTGGCGCGGCAGGCCCGTTTTTGCGTCCCGAGGTGCGGCAGTGGCCCGTTTTTGTGCCCTGTGGCGCGGCAGCGGCCCGTTTTTGCAGCCTGAGGCGCTGCGGTGGCCCGTTTCTGTGTCCTGAGGCGTGGCAGTGGCCCGTTTTTGTGCCCTGTGGCGCGGCAGGCCCGTTTTTGCAGCCTGAGGTGTGGCGGTGGCCTGTTTTTGTGCCCTGAAGCATGGTGGCAGCCTTTTTTCGCAGCCTGAGGCGCAGCAGCGGCCCATTTTTGCAGCCTGAGGCGCTGCAGTGGCCTGTTTTTGTGCCCTGAGGTGTGGTGGCGGCCTGTTTGCACAGCCTGAGGCGTGACGGCATCCCATTTTTGCGCCCCAAGGCGTGGTGGCAGCCTGTTTTCACAACATGAGGTGCAGTGGTGGCCTGTTTTTGTGCCCCGAGGCGCGGTGGTGGTTCGTTTTTGCAGCATGAGGCGTGGCGACAGCCCATTTTTGCACCCTGAGGCTTGGCGGTGGCCTGTTTTTGCACCCCATGGCACGGTGGTGGCCTGTTTTTGTGCCCCAAGGTGTGGCGGCGGGCCGTTTTTGTGCCCTGAGACGCAGCGACGATCCATTTTTGCACTGTGCAGCGCGGCATCCTGTTTTCGCGCCCCACAGCCGTGGCCCTAGAGCGAGTGTGTGGTTATGCGCGCGCACGTGCACACACTGTCCAGCCTGTCCAGTGGCCTGGTGGCCAGTAGCCCACGGCTTAACACCGGGCCGCGACCCACTTGTTGAGGGCCCCTGCCCTATACCATTTCAGACAAGTAACTGAATTATTTACATTGGATCTCTAATTTCCAATTGGCCTCACGCAGGTCCGACAGGGACAGCCAAAGGACTGGATGTGGGCCGGTCAAGGTATGTGTGTGTATAGGTGTGTAAAATGCTGAGATCTGCTCTAGATCTTTAAAATGTCTGTATTTTTTTTTGTCTGCTCTTTCAAAGGTGTCCTACAGCAGAATTTTCAGAGGCACTACAGGTCTCAGCCAACTCATGGTATCGGCCGCTACAGACATCTCCTTCCCCCAGAGGTGAGCATTAACAAATCTCAAATGTTTGCCGATTCTGTCCTTCCTTAAAGACAAGATTCCTGGAGGGACCCGACTGTCGGCTGAGGGCTCTCTGGATTAGAAAGAGGCTATGGATTGCTCAGCAAGCCATTAAAAAGGAGATTAAAAAGGAGATTACAACTGATTACATGTCAGTGTTGCTGTTTTGTTCCTTCTGCTTTTTATTAGAGCGATTTTGACTTACAGCTCTTTGTTTAGCGGCAGTTCAAAGTTACAGCAGCAATGGGAAAAGTGATTTTTTGACCGTTTTTTCACCTCCCCACACACAACCGTTGCGGCATCTCCGTGGTCATGGGATCGAAATCCGGACGCTAGGCAACTGGCGTGTACTTGCAACGGTTACAGCGGCCGCGCAGTTCCCTTTTGCGACCTTCTGACAAACGAAGTCAATAGGGAAACCAGATTTGTTTGGCGACCCTGTTGCTAAGTTAACAACTGCAGGGATTCACTTAACAACGGTGGCAAGAAAAGTCGTAAAATGGGGCGAAGCTTACTTAACATCTCTCTGGCTTAGCCACGGAAATTTTGGGCTCGTTGGTTGTTAAGTATATACCTGGAGTACTGCAGCCAATGTTGGTCACTGTATCACAAAAAAGAGGTTGAGAGTTTGGAAAAAGTTCAGAGAAGAGCAACTAAGATGATCAAAGGCCTGGAGGCTAAAACATACGAAGAACGGCTGCGGGATTTGGGTTTGGTCAGTCTAAAGAAATGAAGAAATAGGGGAGACATGATAGCAGTGTTCCAGTATCTGAGGGGCTGCCACAAGGAAGAGGGGGTCACGTTGTTCTCCAGAGCACCAGAGGGGAGGGCGAGAAACAATGGTTGGAAACTGATCAAGGAGAGAAGCAACCTGGAATTAAGGAGAAACTTCCTGACAGCGAGGACAATTAACCAGTGGAACAGCTTGCCACCAGAAATCGTGGGTGCTCCATCACTGGAGGCTTTTAAGAAGAGACTAGACAGTCACCTGTCTGAGACAGTGTAGGTTCTCCTGCTTGAACAGGGGGCTGGACTAGAAGACCTCCAAGGTCCCTTCCAGCTCCTATTCTATTCTATTCCATTCCATTCCATTCCATTTATTCTATTCTATTCCATTCCATTCCATTCCGTCAAGGACTATCTGTAGATTCTGAATTAGATTCTGTCCCTTGTAGACAGAGACTAATATATTCAGACTTTGGTGTCCTAATAGTGGCTCTGCATTTAAGGCTTAGTGTTAGAGCGTGCACAGGTTTATTGTGCGAGATAACCCAGGAGTAAACACAGTAAACAGCGGTCTATATTAAATGGTGGTTTATCTTACACTAGCTACAATATCATACACCAGGAACAATATACATACACATGCTAATACGGCAGGATCCAACACACCACAGTTACAGCAGGAAACGGAAGAGAGAGAACACATCAGCGGAGCCTTTCCTTTTATACAACGGCTCTTAAAGGGACACAGACCCTGCTGAGTCATTCCCTTCATTACATCTTACATTACATAGGCTGGTTAGCTGTTAAATTTTTTATTTTATTTTTTTTTATTTTTACAAAATTTATATGCCGCCCTTCTCCCCATGGGACTCAGGGCGGCTCACAGCATGTTAAAACAATATACAAAATTACCCCTTCTAAAAACCAATTAAAATCCAAATATTAGTGGCTGTGACTATTTAAAATCATTAAAAATTTTCCCTATTTAAAATTCACCCTAGGTCAGGCCCGCTTGTTGAAAAAGC